TAACACAATGAGTGCAAAGGGACAATCCAAATCCTTGCAGATAAAAATCTACTCMTTATAAAAGGTGGAGGAACCAAGTCTGTGAAAAAACACAGCAAATATTTTCTCTCAAAAAACAAAACTCTTATCAAGAAGCACSGTTATTTATTTCTTGTCAGTACAGGCAACCACTTCATACAATTTCTAAAAGTTCTTCCATGTCTAAAGACAAAAAGAACTGTGCAAAGAGATATGGTCTCCAAATGTTCATCAAATCTACATGACTAGTAAAATCACTAGCCCAAATCATTAACTTTCATTGTTTTATGATCACAGTTTCCCTCAACTTTGAAGACTGAAGGCTTTTTACCATTTTTTTCAATACTTATGGTATAATTTCACTTGCCATACAAAAATTCTGTATTTCAACAGTTGAACTATACATAAAGTTAATSTATCAATATATCAAGGGCACAGTATTCTTGATTTGCAATAATCAAAATTGTAGGCAAAACATTATGAAGGAGTCATTATTTTGGAAATACAGCATAAAGAAAAACACCTCTTTCTACAATTTAATTTTTTCCCAAAATGTTGAGAAACACAACTCTGAGGAATTAATCTATATATATACAGATAAATCACAATAGGGAAAATACATTATTTCCTTCAATGAAAACATGGAAAATTACTRGAATAGAACTCTTCTGCACACTTCTGAACTCTCTGAATCTCACAAGTGAGATGGGDAAGCTACCTAATTTGTCTGAACTTACACTACAAAAGTAGTTTGGTGAATAGCTTGCTGAGGACATCAGATTCTTCAGGTCAATCAGRATTCTACAACTAATAATTATTTGGACTCTTTAAGACTCCTAACAAATTCTGCAAACCTTATTTTTATCAGTTAAGAGTACACTACTAGTCTTGTACATCCTACAACTAAAACCATATATACCAGACATCTAAAAATCAAGCTATATACTTTATAGCTTCTTTTACATGCATCTGAGAAGACAATGAATGAAGCAATGCTGCAGTAGAATACTATGTTACATTTGTCCGTGTATTTTTCCTGGTAGGAGCACCTAAACTTCTGTCTAAAAGCCACAGAAAGTCAGTAGTCAGATTGAATCTGAGAACTCTTTTCACCCATTGGCCACAGCAGCTGAATTCTGGAGAAAGTAAAAGAAAGACTGTTTCCTTAGCATGGAAGACTATTAGCAGTATCAAGGAACTGAAAGCTTTATGTTCTATGGGAGAATTAACTCCTATCTGAAGGCCACAGAACAACCTTATTTCATCCACTCATCTCAAACCCTGAAGACCTGTTTTCTGAAGACATCCAAGTCTTTGGGAGTTTCACTGAATACTGATAGGACCTAAGTTACTTCTATTCCACCTGAACCCATATAGCTCAAGTACTTTGTCTGAGACAAAGTCYCTCAAGCAACATCTAAAATGACACTGCTATTGCAATTTTAACTCTCAGACAGGAATACTTTCTGTCTTCAGTAAACATTACACTGAGAACATTTAAGAAAACATGATCCTGTTCTTAAAAAGTAATTTAAAAGAAATTAACAAGTCACACTGTATTATTAAGCTCTTTATTTCTGTACCTAAAAAACTTACCAAAGAAAGGCAAAGACTTACAGAGTAGAGGAGATAAGGCAAGAAATTTGAAAGAGGACAGAACTGTCGACCTAAAATACAGTCTCTTGAATTGGTCTGTTTAGTCTGGGAGCTGCTACAACCACTGCCCTAAACAAAAGTTTAGCCATGGTTCCATGAGATAATAACAGAAAATAATCCAACATTCAACCCATCTAATACCACTTCCCGTATGTGCTTGCATAAAACATCACTGTATTATTTGAACAAGATCATAATTACATTGAAAAGGGAAGAAAACATTTACATATTGTCTGAATTGAGATATGGTAGGAAAGTTTCACAAAAATGTCTTCATGCTCCAGTATTTCCTGCTGCTAGAGGGAAAGAAATACAGCTTCCCCCCCACCTTTCAAAAACAGTGCCAATATAAAAACCCTGAAAGATAATTCAGGTAACTAAGAAACTCTAACTTACAGACTCAGACTTCGCTGGGAAAATCTCCAATATGGACAGTGACAAATATGGACAAACAAGGGTATCAGTAATCCCTATTCACTAACATTGAGAAGAGGTTAAATTATTCCTTAGGGCTCAGGATCTACACATCTCACAAGGTAAGTATTCTACTATCAGGTGAGGACTACGYAGTAAAATACATTTAGACATCATATAAGTACTCTGATATTTTTCACAATATATACTGAATACAGACTCWAAAACAGGGCATTAGGCAACTAAAATATAAATATACACTTCCTTCATACCAATCAATCACCTGGGTTTGTGACAATAAAATTAATTGGTTTACAGTCACTGACAGTCAGTATCACTTACTGAGTCACATGAACTAGAACAGGACTGTTGTCCTGGGTTTCCCAGAACTGTGAGGGAATTTATAATTTTTTAGAACTTTTTTTCTCATAACACTGTTTCTAAAAAACATAGTATACTTCCATATTCATACAGGTCTTCAAAAGTGCATTGTTTAAATTTTTTAGTAAATAGGTACTTGCAATAGAAACATTCTTTGCAAATGGAAAGGTACACTGTGTGATTTTGATTTAGACACACCTTTCCTGCAGTCTTGGCCCCAAATTGTTTGACAGAAAAAAAAGCTGTATTATTTGACCAGTGTTTTAAAATTACAGTCATTCAAAGATGGTTTTGAAAAGGCTTCCATAGAATTCATCCCCTCCCTTCAAGAGAATGCAAAGTGATTTCTCTATTTAAAACTATTAATATCTGAGGAAAAAAACTCCTAAAGCAAAATCCTGTGATTAAGACTTAAACAGTAAAGCTACTAAACAACAGTTATTRAAAAATGTGAAAAAATAAAACCAGAAAGTTACTGCTAACACACAAAAGGAAAATGTTAGTTGCCTTCCTAAAACTAAAATACCAGAGTTGCTGCAGTTTATTTCCCYTCACAATTTTGCAATTATTCATCAAAATATGCAAGACATTTACTGAAAATTTTGTATCAGAATTTCATAGCTAGGTTTGCCTGCAAAGACACCTCCAAACAAAGTCTAACATAAAGGCAGTATATTGTTAATATTTATGTGTTTAAGATACCATATAGTGGAACTACTATTTCTATACAGGAAAGAAATAGTTATTTAGCTCCAGACAATCTGATAATAACTCTTTCAACTATAGTTATAATTATATACAAACTTCCAAAGCAGAAGTTGTCAAGATTTAACACCAGCATTAATTTAAGTAAGGGATTCATTCGTCCAAAGACAGCAAGAATCATAAATGAAGTATCATCTTAATTGCCACTAATTTTCCCATGTTTAATTAAATTGATCAGTAATTTATTACCTCACCCAGCATCAGAAATCTGTTAGTATGCAGCTTTAAGAGACAGCAGATATCAGTCCTTTTAATTTCTAATACTATCATGGTTCAAAAATAATTTAAAACTGCTGTATCATATTTCTTTTGAATCCTGAACTGCAGGATATGCACATTCCATTTAAAACTTCTGTGAAGCACTCCAGAGCATAAACATGGAATAATTTTGGTTGCAAAAGACCCTTGAAATCGAGTCCAACCACTAAGCTAATACTGCCAAGTCCACCACTAAACCATGTCCCTAGGTACCCAGACTACATCTCTTTAAAATACCTCCAGAGACACTGACTCAATCATTTCCCTGAGCAGCCTGTTGCAATGCTTGATAGCCCTTTCAGCAAAGAAATGTTTCCTAATATYCAACCTAAACCTCCTCAGCACAACTTGARGCTATATTGCCTACATGACCTGTTCTCCTGTTCTATAGTTTCGTACTCCAACACAGGTGTATGATCTTAAATTTACTTTAGAAGAACAGGATTTCCTTGCCAAAAATGTTTAGAAGATGTGACATTTGATTCTAAGACAGTTCAAACCATATTCTAAGATCTTATCTGTAATTAGATTTATTTTTAACYGAACACAGAATAAAACCTGAAGTCCATGAATCTCAATTATCATTTTAATGAAGGAAAGCAAGCTAGAAAATGTTCAATACCTGACTTGAAGTCTAGAAAGACCTTTACCTGAAGTTTCAGAAAGTAGTCTACATCAGTTTGATCGGTAAAATTATATATTTACTTTCTTTAAAATACCAATTATGATTTTCTGAACATTGTATTGGTTTGAGAACTGTGCACTGCACAACTAGCTGGAATGGACATAGCATGTTCACTCAAACATGGAAAGCCTCTAGAGTTAACAGGTTTTCTAKTTTTTTCAATGAGACCTGATTAAATTACAGTAGAAAATAAAGTACTACATGAAAGATTTTGAAAAAGAACAGAGAATAAAAAKGATTGATATATGTTATTGCTACTATATCCTATACTAGAATATAATCACAGGGTTACCAGAATTATAACTGTCATTGTAAAATACTCCGTAATACTAGGCAAATGATCTGCAACATACAAATACCAGATTCTGATTTACTCAGCATACGTGTACTCAAATGGAAATATCTAGACATTACTTTCCTTACACTGATAAATGCACAAAATACAAAAGATCTCTTATTGCAGTAATTAAGCAATGCACTATTTTAAATGCAAAATAACTTARACATTCTATTTATAGATGATTGTCACAGTTATGTTTTTTCTCATACACGCCAAGAACATGTTACAGGTGTTTTTATTGAATAGGAAAAAGGTTTGGGTTTCAAATGAGGATTGACAAGTGTGCTTTACATTGGGGAAAAAGGAATACAGCTATGCTATATATTTACAGTGCAAGAAAGATGAAAGGAATAGAAATAAAAGCTGTAAAAGTGTTCCATTATTTTCTTAAAGCTTTCCTTAAATATCTAAGTGGATTGTTTACTTAAATTACTTAGGCAATATAACTATCTCCGACCATACAGTTGTTTTCCATCAGCATACCTTAACAAGTTTCATGAGCTGGTAAAGGTCTTCAACCTCATCTTCCTGGCATGCAGTATACACTCTTCCSGTATTTACACTGGTACCTTTTATAAAACCACGATACAGGGGCAAATCCATTGCATCAGCATATAGGTCAATGGCATGGTGTCCTACTGTCTGATACATATAGCTGTCCAATTCATCAGTCTGCCCTGCCATGATTAAGCAACAACTATATTAGGGACATTGTTTCAACAATTACAGATAATCAAATACTACAAAGCACTGAGAAAATCTAAATGTTAATATTTTTCAGTTCACAAACAGATGTTTGGTGACAACACCACTATAAACATGGAGAGAAAAAAAATAGATTTCTCCACCCAACAGACGTATGGAGAGGAAGACATCTGTCACAAACATGCTGCCTATTTGCAAATTGTGGTGTCTTTCCTTCTTCCTGCTTCATCCAAAAAATCTCATACCGGTCCAATTCTGCTCCTATTTATATGGTAATTTTAATAGGAACACAGGTCAGAGGCAAAAACGTAGCTGTATTTTAACATACTCAGAGCCAGAAATTTGTAATGCACTGCAACACAAGAATAAGCAATAGGTTGTCAAAATTTACAAAAACTTTACTGTTAAAATTGTTTTCATGGTCATCATGAAAGAACAGGCAACTATCTCTGCTTAAGTAGAATAAAGGTAGACCACTATTATGTTTCAACACTGTTTAATAAACAATGGGCTATTTCCCTAACTGGGAGAAAAAAATTAACCAAATTTTTCAACAAGTACTTTGCAGCTAGCGGACAAGAAAAAAAATCAGCTAAAATTCAGACATCATGAATTAGAACTACATCTCAAACAATACAATAAACTATTTACATATAAAATCTTTAATATTTCAGACAGTTTGATAAAGTAATACATCATTATTGGTGAAATTTCCACTTTTTATTACAAGCTAACATAATTCACTATTTTAATACTAATTTGTAACATTGGTASTTCTCTGAATTTACATAGAGACATCAAGCTTTTCTGCTGTATACCTACGTAGCACATCTTGCAAAGAWAAAGGTCTGTAACATTCATCCAGATAACTAATTTGTGATGCAACAGGCAGGTCATATAACCTTTGATGCCGCACAACAGATGCAATTCTGCACAAAACAGGAAAATCCAAGMCCATAATCACAACTAGACCAGAGGAATTTATGTAAGAGAAAATTCCTTGATTTCAACATATAYGAATATGACAAGGTCTTTAACTGATATTCTGCTTAGAATACACAGTTTCTTTATTAATTGAGACTCTCTAGGCAACAGTGGTACAAGATAAAATAAAAGAATGGCACAGAATCCACTATTGCCTGAAGCACCTCAATTAACTTTCTATAAAATTTCCAACTGCACACTTAAAGAGAGCATTTTATGGTTTTAATGACAATATTCTACATTTCTGATGTGGATAAATTAGTTTGAAGACAACATATTTCAACAGGATTAGAGATTATKATGTCCTAGCTACCCAGAAAATAAATTGCTCCTATACTCTCCTAGCATTTGCCAGTTCTGTCCGTGACTCATTTGTGATGGCAGCTCCCTTTTTCCTTCCCTTTCTACCCTCCTACAATACAGTCACCAAATACCATACTTAATTACTTAACATATGTTGAACAGTGAGCCTAGTTAACATACTTTAACATTCTCCCCTACCAACTGGAAACAACTCACTTGCTTCTCAAGTCTCACTTCAATTTGTGCTTTAGTCCAATATACAAGGACTTGTATATTGGACACCTCACCTCACCACTGACTCTCACCTCACCACTGACTACCTGAGTTTCTCTCATTCTCTTTCATAGAAAYAAGGTGGGGCCTGTGAAGAACTGACAAAAAAATTGGTCCAGCCTAAAAGGAAGGAAAAAAAGCAGGAAAAGTATGTTCATCAAAGGCAATTCCAACCCATATCAATTCCTCAATTCAGTTCACAGATGCTGGGTTAGAATCTTGGAGAAAGACACATAAAGATAAAAATGGATGGGCAGCAGCACAATGGCACATTTTTGGCAGATGGAAGGATTTTTAGCATTAACTTTAGCACCAGGTTAAATTATTTCTAGAAGTACAGTGTTAGTTTTGGTTGATTACATCATCTGTCACCTTTTAGCATTTGTGCTAACAGAGTCACARATCCCTTTATTTACCACCAGGATATCGGTATTTCTTTTTCAAATTGTGCAAGCCTTTCTTTTACTAATCTTCTCTTCTTGTGACCTTTTTTTCCCCACCCTTTAAGGAAAAATACATTCCATACATTTCCATAGCATTTTCTTTTTTCTACCTCTTTTAAAGTTTCTATATTAGCCTTCAATATGCAAAACCACAAAAAAAAAACAAAAAAACAAAAAAACACATAAAGGAACTTAATTCAGGCACAGTCGTGTCTCCATTGTTTCTAATATTTATTTTTTATGTTTCCTATTAGAAATGGAGCTTTCATACCTGTATTTTCAGCAGGTCTTAAATTGGCTAGAGCAACAATCTGATGCCCAGCAGCAACACACTGCATCATATTATAACAACTGTCCTTCCCACCGCTGTAAGAAAAAGAAARTAGTGGCAATTAAAATTACAGATAAAAGTTTTAGTCCCTTATAACTTTTGGCTAACTATTCAAAAATTATTATCAGAGCTGGTTATAACATTTTGAAATATGAAAAGAGTTGTAGAATATTAACAGTAGAAAAGCAATTATTTTACCACACATATACATTCACATTTATATATGTATAGTGCCTAAATACGGTAACCATAAAGCACATAACCAGTCTGAGAGGTTACATGAAAAAAAGCCACTGACACTAGAATCTCTTCCATTGTCAGTGTTCCAGTAGACTGTCTTCTATTTCAGAGACAAATTACTCTGTACTCATTGCTAGTTAACTTGGATCAAAAACAAAATCTGCTCCAGCGAGTTGCCAGTATTAGTAATCCTTTTAAATTAGGTCTGCCATGTAGAGGTGGTGCCTAGGGACACGTTTTAGTGGTGGACTTGGTGGTTTAGTGGTGTTGGGTTAATGGCTGGTCTTAGAAGTCTTCTCCAACCTCAATGATCGTGTATTAGGATCATGTTCCTTCATGGGATGCTTTGCCTACACTTTCAACATTTTGAACACACTTCCGATTCTCAAAAACTTTAATTATTACAGACAGTAATTTCAGTTGACACAGTTGAACATATGATTCTTTTTAATTTAACTGCAAATAAAAATTATTAGTGCCAGTAAAAAAATATAAAAGCAAACATAACCATATTCTTGTCTGAGGCCAAGAGATGACACTTCAAAGATCAACAGAGGATACAATAAATTTTGGCATTCATTCAAAATCTACCAGAAACTTTTCTAAAATCAGTAAGAAAGAATCCTGTTCTCTGGATGTTAGTGAAAAAAGTATTTCTACGCATTTTAATCACTAGAAAAAAAGATTACAATCTATGTAAAACTAAAAGTGCTCTAGAATACACTCTGCTTAAAAGATGCATGTTCATACTCATGGCCTTCAAACCACAACTACAGGTGGAGATTCTGTGMAGCTTCTTTAAATGCCAAGACACAAAAACTAGGACAGGAACTGCAACAGAGATCTAGACAAAGATTAAAACTGCATTTTGTTTTAGAATCACTGAGACATGCACAGGAAAACAGACAGTAAAAGCAGTCCTTGCTACAATAGACTGGTTGTGTTCCTTGTGACCACACTGATACTATTTCTACCTGAAAGGGGGTTGTAGCAAGGTGGGGGCTAGCCTCTTCTCCCAGAAAACAATTGAAGGACAAGAGGAAATGGCCTCAAGCTGCACCAGGGGACATTCAGGTTGGACATCAGAAAGAATTTCTTCACRGGAAGGGTTGTCAAGCATTTGAATGGAATRCCCAGGGAAGGCAGTGGAGTTACCATTCCTGGAGGTATTCAAGAAATGACTGTACACTTGGTGCTACGATCTAATTGACAAGTGGTGGTCGGTCAAATATTAGACTTGATAATATTGGAGGTCTTTACTAACCTAACTGATTCTGTGATTTCGAAACAAACTTCTTTAGAATTTCCAGCATAAAGTTTCCCTTTTAACCTAGCCCTCTATGCTTGAAAGTGCCTTACAGAAATGCAACCTTTTAGCTATTCCCATCAATTTCTGCTTTTATCCATGCTAAACTTCTCTMTGCTGACCTTAATTTGCTGTGTAATTCAAACCTAAAGTAGAAATAGTGTAAATAATATGGCATCCTTTCATACTTAACAAATTTTCGTAAAACAACTGCTTCTGTTTCAGGGCTACAGACAGAAATATAAATATGACAGAGATTCCTACTTTGAGGGTCTATCTCTACTTAACATTCTTCTCATGCATACCTGAAACTTTCTTCTAACCTATACACAGACACARAAAAAAATATATAAATCACATGTTCATTAATTTTGGATACCATTCTTGATAGCTTGAAAACAGAGTATTCACTTCATAATGTGAAATTTCAGGCTTAACAGAGTCATGAGACAAAGATTTTTTCTGAATGACTTTATGCTAAAAAATAGAAGTCTCCTATTAATCCTGATTTCAACTACRAACCACTTCAGAAAAATAATTATATGACAATAGATAATTGCCTATGTGGTTTACAGCATTTCAATATTTTTTAAAATTTTAATTTAAAATTAAAATGCCACTGGAATAAATCTATTAATCTTTTCAATTAATTTACATATATATCTATATATACATAGAGACATTTTAAGATTCAATTATGACCATATTGCCTACATTAGACCACCTTGTACTCACTGAATCACATGCTACTGTACTGTTATTTATTCTCTGTATTACTTACCATAGCCCTAAAACTAACAGTACCAAGAGACAAAATGTAACGTGCCTATAAGGCCTMCAAAACTAATTGTAAAACACAACATGATGAAGACCAGAAATGAAATGAAACTAGACAGCCCAAGCTATGAGAGAAAGGTGGACCCAGCACAATCCACAGAAGAGAGATGAAGGTAAGTATTGAGATAGCCTGGGGACCCCTCTCCATTCTCATCACGGGGGAAAAAAAATCACAAGGCTTTTTTGTAAAAAACTCTGAAGTGAGGCCAGCCAGGATTCTTTTTGACAATGTTGCAAGTATGTTAACAGGCAGGCTCATAAACAAACAAAATACCAGAAGGAAAAAAAAGTGGTAACTGTGAAGATACAAACCTATACAAGACTTCTGAGCAAAATTCCTTTCCATCGACAAGTGAAACTACTTACAACTAAGAAAAATCTAGAAGAAATAAAGAGTTGAAAAACATTGTATTTCAGGTTGAAGACAAGCTTTAAAATGTCTATGATTTAGCACAAAACACAACACAGGGTTTACCCCACAAATACCACCTTAAAGAAAGACTATCAACTTTAAGTGTGGCCAACGTTTTATAAGGAAAAAAGCCAGGTTAAAGTAGTTTTAAACATAATCCTGACCTTTTCAAAAGTAAGAAGCACTTTTCAAATACTTTTTCCCCCCTCTGATCTTTGGCTAGCTGTTACAAAGATTTCAGACACTTTGATGTCTCTTTAAAACTCTTCTTAAAACTATTACTGAAACTAAATCCATCCTTGTAAAATAGACCATTAAAACAGCACTTGTTAGAAACCTGTTTATAGCRTTTTATTCCATCCTGTCTTTTAACACATTCCTCTGCTTAGAGAATATCAAAGTAAATAAACCTGAAAGACAAAGTCTTATCTATAAAACTAGAAAAAGCACTGAAGCTGATTTTCCCTACATCATATTTAAGCAAATCTTAAAAACAGGTAATRTTTCCTGTATTTTATTCTCTTTGCATGACGTTTGGAATGATTTGCAATTGTTGCGGCCAAATCCCAATTTCAAYAAGGTTGGATGTTAGACATTCCCTGAAAGAATTTAATGCCTTAAATGTTTAGGCATAAGTAAATAGCTACTGCAACCAAAAATAAAAATACATAGCTTACATCTGCACAATCTTTTTCTATTTACAGGTTTCCTAGCTTTTTCTTTTTAATTTTTTTTATTGTTTCTTCAAGACAAGCACATGCCTATCCTTATTAGAAATGTTAATGTTTCTAAAGAAAAGCGCAGATTACAAGAACTGCAKAAACTGACAAAGAAACTGACAAAAAACATTGCGGGCCGGGGGGAGGAGGAGGGCAAACACAGCAACCCTGACAGCACTGTGTCCAATTCCAACTATTTCTTTTTAAATTTATTTATTTTTGAATTKGCAAAATTAAATCTCTCGCAAAAAGCCATGCTAAAATCGATCGTTGAGAGGTCAGGAAATTTAACCTGAAAGACCTTAGGATACTTGGAAAGCAAAAGCAATTGGATATTGAACTKCAAATGAACAGAACCCCCTTTTTAGAGCAGGACATGCGGCCCTCACTGTGCCCCCGGGACGGCACTGCCAGCGGCCCAGGCGGCCCCGGCTCTCGCCGCGCTGCGGACAGAATAACCCTGGAGACCGGGATAACGGAGAGCAAGCGATTNGGGGGGGGGGGTTGGTTGGTTGGTTGTGTTAGTTCGTTTTTTTGTTATTTCATTTTAAAACGACACCGGTTCTTCTTAAACTCCTCGGGAACAGTAGAAAGCAAGAAGAGAAACTATCTCAGCCTCATCCTGCTCGTAGGCAGRGACCACCCCGCTGCGGCACTCGGAGGCGGCCAGTCCAGGGACCACGGGCAGAGCCGGCGGCCGGCCGGGAACGAGTCGCCAAGGCAGGGGAAGAAGGGCAGCAGGAAACGCATGGGCGGAAAGGCCGGGCGGAAAGGGCCGGCCGGGTCTCCCGGGCGGCACTGGGTGGAGCGCGACCCCCGGGCAGGCAGGGCTTCTCCCCGTCTGCGAGACGCCCCTCGATCGCTCATACGGGCGTTCCGTCAGCGTGTTACCTGATCAAAGCCACTACTCTCATGTTGCTCACAGGCCGGGGGCGGTAACACTGACAGGGAGGCGGGCGAGAGCCRGCAAGCGCAGCGGGAAGGAGCCCGGTCGCTACAGCCACGCGGGGCTGCGCACGCTGCCGGCTCCTCCGTTGCTACCGCTACCGCTTGGCCGCCTCCCCTCTGACGGGCCCTCCTCCTGGGGTAGGCCGGCAGACTGCCTGCGCACACCGGAGGCTCGGCGAGCCGCCCACCCCCAACCCGGAGAGGTTCGCTGCCTGTGCCGCCGTGCTGCGTGTGGGCCAGGGCGGCGAAGCCCRGGCGCGGCCCGGGGACGGGCGGGAGGAGGGCGCGGCCGCGGAGGCAGAGCGCGGGGCGCCTATGGAGGGCAGGGCGGCCGCGCCGGCAGGCCCGGGCCGGCCGTGGGAGGGCATCCCTAGCGCTCCTGCCGCTTCCCTCTGCCCGCCTGTTGACTTCTGCCCTTCAGCGGAGCGCCACGAACGTCCTCCAAGCGACTGCTGCCTAGGGAACTGCCGTCGGCCGAGCGAGGCCGCCGCCTCCCCATGGACTGCCCGCCGGGGGCACTGCGGGGCGGGGCAGGGGGGCGGCAGGGCCCGCAGTGAGAGCAGGAGTTGCTGCGGGGCTTCAGAAGTCGCTGGGGCCAACGATCGCGGCAGCGAGGAGGGAGGAACAGCAAAGCTGCCTTGGCTGCTGACCCTCGCTGAAGGGCTCTCTGCTCCCTGACAGCACGAAATGTCTATCTGCTCTCTCGGGTTTAGCTTCTGCAGACCAAAAATCTAATCTCGTMATCTGAACCCTGTTTTGGGCCAGTTCTCCGAGCAGTCGCACCATAAAGCACATAACAGACACCCGTGCAGGGTTTGCAGGCTGAGTCAAAAGCTTACSCAGGTGCCCAGTCTTTTCACACGTGACACACTAGTTTGTTTCTCTCATGTCACAGAAGAAATGTGTGKGTTAGTTTACGCAGACAAAACTTTGTTGCTAGACTTAGGAGACATGCATTCCAGTTCGTATTGTGACTGTTTGGATCAGCAGTCTGAGGGCCCGCCGCTCCTAGAGGCTTTGACTCCAAGGGTCTGTGAGGCTAAAGTGCGGCCACTGGAGCGGTTCGCTGCGCACCCTCGCTGGAGCCCGATGTGCAGGGTCAGCGGGACCAGGGCTGTGCCGCAGCGTGAGCCTCAGGCTGCCCTGCTCCCTGCCGTGCCAGCTGCAGTGACCAGCASTGCCGGTTCATGCTTCCTGTTGAGTTTAGTTGCAGCAGTCTCTGCAGATACCACAAAAAGCTCTGTTCCTCCAGGCTGAGATAAATTCTTTATGCACTGTGAGTGCTAGCTTATCAGTCCCCTGTAGCGTGATATTATATAACGCTATGTAACAGTCTGTACCACTCAGGCTTTACATTAGTTCCTTGTAGATAGTTTGTTGAGCATATAGTTCCCAGAAAAAGATGGAAGAAAATATTCTAAAAWAAAAGCATTCTGTTATAGTGATAAATGTACCGAAATAAATGCCTAGTGAGGCAAGTATATGTTTTTTTGGGTTTTTTTTATTATTTTTTTTTATGTACAGCTCATGAAACAGCTTGAAAGACCACTTTTTAAAGATTATTTTAGTCAGCACATGATTTATACAGTAAATCRCTGTAAAATAGGAATGGATAAATTATGGGAGATATGAAAGTGATGATGCCCTCCTAAATATACTTTTGAAAAGTTRAGAAGTGACAATCAGTATAAAACTTATTTGCTATGTAGTTTTGAAGAGGTAGTAAACATAACATGGATTTTTCTTCATTGGAATAATTGCAAAAAACTACATTAAAAAATTAAAATCTACAGTTCATGCTTTGACCATCACAGGCCAGTAGTTCTGAGACACAATATTTGACTTGCCTTGTACTACTTACGGGGCACTTGAGTTTCCTACTAGTTTATYGATGATGACATAATGTGTTAATCTTTGAAAGTGTTTTCTGCTCTTCRAAACATCCTAGGTGATGTAAAAAGGGTTTCTTAGGCATGAAATTCTGATAAAATCACCGAAATTTTGTTAGGGGTTGGGACTTCTCTTTTTTTAGCTCAGAAAGGTAATGGAGACCTGTTCTGAATTAGAAGAGAGATTTAAGCAGAAGTTACTAAACTGAATGAAGCAATACTTCATAGTGCATGAACTAGTAGAAGATAACTGAGGGACAGTAAAAGAAAGACAGAACAAAGCTATTTGATTTATTGCCCCCCCAAAAAATGTTATTTTGCCACACATTACCTTTATATTTTCTGGGTTTGAATGACAAATGTGTTGTTTTTTTTTTTTTATTATCACAAAAAACGAATAATTCGGCTAGTAGTTGTGAACACTTAGAAGATGYTCACAATACTTATCAGTGATACATGGAAAGTAAAAATCATGTACATAAATTATTCTGCTGCTTTGTAAAATGGAGAGGCTGTAGTCTGTAGCTGTAATCAGACAGCATTAGAAAAATAGTCAAAGACTTGTAAAGATTTGTCTAAGTAGCATTGTTACAGGATCTGCAAAAAGAATAATTCTGAAATCCTGCATTTTCAAAAAGATCTGTTATTATTTATCTATTGTTGACACAATGTAGCTGTGTTGGGGCAGATGGTTCTATTCCATTCAGTTTTACGGCATCAAAAAAAACCCAAATTTCTACTTACAAGTCAGACTTGTTTGAAGTAGAGGTACAATACTGTAGGACCATAATCTGCTTCATTTATGAGTGCAACTGGAATTTTTGCTTCCATTTGATGAAGACATCAGTAGTTATTTGCCCGAATAAAAAGGTGGCATTTGTGTCCCAGAATTTGTGAAATATATCAAAATTGAATTAATAAAGTGGGGTTACAAAAATTGCATTTTACCCAAAAGGATGCTATTTTCAAATTATGTGGAATATATTCTGTGAGAAAATCTGTTTGCTCTCWTTCACCTAATGGAATAGCTCTGGTGTAGTGTCACTGCTCTTAAAAAGTTCTGCCATATGACAGTGGACAAAAGACAGTGCACCATCTTTCAAGCTGCTTGCCCCAAGACATTCTGCTGTATTGACACAGCAGCTCAAACAATGAAATCCACCAAAGCTGCCTTTCATCTTGGGGCAGTACTGGCTAGTTTGTACAGAAGGCTTGYAATGGCTCAGTGTTTCTTTTTCACCCTTTTCTGCCTAGAAAGTTGAAAATAATGATAATGAATTAGTATAACTGGAGGAACCTGTCAGAGGATTGAAAAACGCAATGCAGTATCCCTAACGATCTGGAATAGTTAATTAAGTTCTCTTATAAATGAGTTCCAAAAATAACTTACTTTCAGTAAGTTATTCTGAGAAACAGTCATTTTAGCATACCTGAGCGGCAGTGCCTCTTAGCAAAGGGCCAATTATCTGGTGATTGGCAGTTAAAGGTGAACTAATGAAGTTCTTAATTAAAAGATTTCCTATTATAATCACCAGTAAGTAACAGAATACTGCATATATAAAGCASATATAACGTTAGAAGAATATTTCCATTTTGAAACAAAGATTTTGGAAATCGTCTTATTTGCTTACCAGGTCCAGAACAGGAATCTTAGAGTTTTCACGTGTGTAGCTGGAAGAATGCCACTATTGCCCCTTATTAGGGTGTCTGACTCTGACTCTCCTACAGTCAGAGGTGTTTTCCCATTTAAAAGTGGCAGCATTTTTGCTGCTGTTAATACCCAAAGATGGTTTTTGTAATACAGAAAAATGGTTTGACATTTTATAGGAGAAGATATCGGACTTTTAACTAAGAAACGGGCTGCAGAGTTCCCTTWTCTGCCTGTTATTGACAGCTTCCCTGAATTTTTACTTCACTGTAAGCAGGATATTTTCAATTTGTCCWTGAGATAAACCAGAATTTTATTTTGTGAAAAAAATTCTGGTTTGGGCATGTGAAATGCATTGACATACTACTAAAACCTGAAGAAAAGGAACTTCTCAGACAGTTTATCTCCCTATTCAGATGTAGAAGGATTCAAGGTCCTCTCTACAGCTAGATGGGAAAAAAGAGTATTGCTCAGAATGCCACATAACCACRCTAACAGTGCATGTTGCCCAACATAAAACGACCTCTTAAAATTAGCATGAGCACCTTGTCACATGGATCCTCTCTTTTTATGCCAGAATAGGCGAACATTGGCTGAAAGTTGATCTCCAGCCACTCACACAGACATGGCCCTGGTGATCAGTACTGTACATGAAGAATGACTTGCAGGGCCTATGGTCTCCTTGCTCTTAAGTGCTCCATGTAAACAGTACTATATATATATATATATATATATATAGCTAATCCTATCATTCTTAGTCTGGTAAGACAAAGCTTGTAATTTTCATAGGTGATTTGAACGCTTTCTGCAGAATAGTGAAATTCAGCAACTTTATTTTGTCCTTTGTATAGAACTTTTTAGGAYTCTCAGACTGGTATTTGTCTGACACTATGACAGAAGCAGAATTTAGCCTACGGGAGCATTATATGGGTTCTTGACTAATAGATAATTGTCATTATAYGATGATGCTAGTTTTTCTAAGCTTTTGATGAACTTAATTTTCACTAACAAATCTACCAATCTTCAGAGAGTCAGAGGTATAAACATTAACCTCATAAAGTCATGCCTATGTCAAAAATGACCAGTGCTTCCATCAGGCACCAGTGCAAGCTAAATTTATATTCACTGACAGATGAACAGTTTTTTTCATTAGACTAGATGAGTTTTCAGTGTTTGAAATTTTTGCTCTATTAGTAAAAGCACTAACATTAATCACCACYAAGAGAAACTGTTGAGTGTGACTGGCAAAATCACTACATTACCTTTTTTCTATTCAGTTTAATTCATGGGATTTAAATGTATTTTTCTCCATGTGAAGTCTTTAAGTACTTTCAAGACCACAAAAATGTCTGACCACCTCTAGGTCATCAAAATGCCTGTAGTAATAAAGGAGTTTCTGTTCTACATATATCTGTTTTGATTGGAATGCAAAAGTTAAGTGGGTGTTACAGGTTTAAAGCACTTTTAAATTCTCTCTTTTTCTCACTTATTAAAAGAATGGATTTTTTAGAAATAAAGATTTCAAATTTTTAATTTATGCTAATTTTAAATACAAAACAATGATACATTGAAACAATG